ATTCCTCGTGAATGGCGCAGTCAAGACTCATGCTCGTAAAAACCAAAATGGCATTTAAACACGTTAAATAGACTTCCCAGTAACTGTTAGATCCATAATTTAATACTGTATCGACATCATATCTTATCTGCTGTATCCACAGGACACAACCTTAATTACTTACATTCTGCCCTCCATGATGTAAAGTCTCTTGATAGAGTTCTCTCTTCTGGGATATCAAGCCATCTGGCCCCTTGAAAGTCAACACTCTATGCTTGTTACCTGCTTCAAGGTGGTCCCTTGCTTTGCTTATTCTTCAAAGATGATGACCTATTTCGAAACTTCGCCTGAATTCCACTGAACTGCATGTCATTATACCCAGAAAACATAACTTTTATATAGGCACCATTGTAAGAACCTCAAGTCCTACAAGCTAACAGTCGCTCAGATAATCAATAAATCTCCCGCCTCTTACGGGACTAAAAATTCATTGCCTTGTCCACAAAAGAATTCCCAATTATAATTATATCTACGATCTGACGTTTAAATCCAAATTTTGCGTAATACAATGAACGTTATTACTAAAAACAAAACAACTTCTTTCCTTAAAGATACCAGTTCATTTGAAATGAATTTACTGTTTACCCGTTTCGTGCAAACAGGGCAATGAACTCAAATGAGAGTGAGTTAATCTTCCTTAACAATCGTAACTCTCCTTCACCGAAAGAAGGAGCAGCAGAGAAACTTGTAACGGCAGCAGCATGATAGACCACTACTTCGGGGTTTCGTTTTATTGGCTTCCACGTGCCATTTATTTGATTACTTTTCCTCTCAACACCCGTCGCTAAGTTACCACCCCATCTAAGCGTAGGTTCTCAACTTCCATGTAAATTTATTCGTCAATCTCTCTCCCAGCTTCCCTCCCAGCTCTTCCATATTACCTATTCCATACTCTTTTTTTTTACCCCCCACCCCCTACTCGACCCCTTACTCAGCCACATTCTGCTATCATTTCTTCAAGAATTTTTCATCCTTACTATATCTTCCCCGTTCCTCTTGTGGGTCGTTATCATACGAGTACGTTGCACGGATAGAAATTGCGAGGCGCTGAAAAATACGATAGATTATCTGAGGAACTACAAATGTGTTCATATCATAAAGAGGCATTCAGATTATGAGCAAACAGGGCTAATGACGTCGGCTAAACCTGCAAATGATGTTTTAATGAATTTCAATTGTATTCACACAGAAAAGGAAGGAAACAAAAAATAAATAAATGTTCCTTTCCTTTGTGAAGTTTAACGGGAATAAGACAATTAATTGTTAAAACGACAATTTATGATTTATTAGAAGAAAACCAGTTATTGTCTCGACGGTTGTCTCAACCCCCGTGAAAGTGAAAATTACATTTATTTTGCCGCTCTCTTAACGAAAACAATATTTTGAAGATAAGAAAGTGGAGCATTTAGGCAAGTCACACGGTAGCTCCCAGAAAAAACAAATTCAGCTCAGCTCACATTTGAACATGTTGGCAGCAATGCATTGAGAATTCTCAGCGCTATAAATCTATGAAGTTCCTTACCACCGCCACTTCATGGTCCCAGGAGGATACGGAGGGGAGTGGTTCCATACCAGTTCCATCAAACAGAAGGCGGGTCCCCTTTCTTAAAAAGAAAAAAGGAATTACAGAAAGAAAATAGAGCAAGGAAAGCCTCTTCAAACAGAAGGAAACCAGACACGAAGAGAAATCGGTAACGGAGACTTCGTTACTAAAAATACGAAAGAGGAAGAGCCAGAAGCTAAGTTTCTTTGTCGTGTCTCTTTCTTCGCTATACGACTGTTCTGGGATTTGAACCCTCAATGCTGCCTACTTGAGCCTTGGTAAAGTGCTACAGGGGCTTAGGGGGGAGGGGAAGGGTGCTTAAAAAGGAGGAGAGAAGCCAAGAGTGTTACGACATCTCTTCTGTCTCCGCCAACTAGCACGTCTCTTGTAATATATAGCTCCCAATGCCTCGTACATAATTTCTAGCTATATACACAAACAGAGAGCTGTGCTTCGGTCAGGTCCCCGGGATCTTTTTTGTCTTCACCGTCTACAGTACAGATTCACACAACTTGGTATCCAGGTACTGCAAACTAATCGTCTACAGTGACCTTCTGCAACGTGCTGTAACTGAGCATCGCTTCCTTGCGTTCACAGACCTCCAAATTACGGTGGACTATTTGTCCAGTGCGCATTTCCGGAATATTCAGATAGGAAATAAAAGAAATCTATGGCGTCAGAGCCGGGATAGCGCAGTTGCTGTAGTGACTGACTACGGCCTGGACGAACAAGGGGTCGGAGTTCCGGTAAAATTCAGGAATTTTCTCTTCTCTGCGTCGTCCAGGCCGATTCTGGGGCCCACCCAGCCTCTATCCAGTGGGTAACGGGGGCTCTTTCCCCAGTGGAAAAGCGGCAGGGGCTAAAGCTGACCACTCACCTTCAGATAGTGCCGAGGTCAAGAAAATGTGGATCTATATATCAACTCCCTTATACGCCTTCATGGCGTAGTGCGCAATTAGTTAAGCACAGGGACAACTTTACCTTTTTACCTTTCCCTATGGTGCAAAAGACATGAGCATACTATCAGTGGGTTCACAAACATACATATTTCCATCCACGTTAGAAGATAAATACAGAGAAAACTGTAAAACTGTTGTTTTGCGTAAGCGCGAAAATTGGATTTCCATTCTGAGATTGAGAGTCAGAGTCGCAGAGAGCGAGAAGTGGGAAGGAAACATGAAAAGGTTCACATTTTGTAGGGTGTTCACATGTTACTGTTATGATGATGGAGTCAAGCAGGCCGAGCAATCATTCGGAGGATAAACGCGAGGTTACTCGCTTAATATTAAAAAGAATCATGGAGAAGGATTGCGTGAAGATGTGAATTGGATTGAACTGACTCACGACTGGGAGCAACGGAAGGTTTCCATAACCACGCTGATACAACTTCGCGTGCTACACATTGAACTGCCGATGTCCTCCTGACATTGGCAACGAACTCATCGAACATATTGCCTACTCTGCCCCTAAGATATCTCTATGTTTCTCGTGTGGTAGGATTTACTTACGTCTATTTATTGAACGTGTAAGTCTATCTGTATTGGAGAGCTCACTCCGCTGTGATGTTATTGCAGTGGCACGACAGGGGCAATATGAAACAGAAGTGTCCGTTGCTTCCTCTTTAAGAAGAATTCACGGGAAATGGAACAAGAGGGTCTAGCTATGGCGTCATACCGCATTTAGTAATTTTAACCGCCTTACCCTACAGGTTCAAGGGCTTATGCCTATGGGAATGTAGAGTTTTCCGGAACAATACAATCTGGAGGTAAAGCAAAAAAAAAGCCTGATTTTTTTTGGTAACAACAGAATAAAACTTGGCGCTTATGTACTCAGTGAATAG